GGACCCGCATCCTCAGTCCGGGGTCTATGTCTTCTTCTGGACTCGGAGCTCATACTTTCTGGATGATTGTAGAATACTTGTTCTACTTCGTACCAAGTCTTCTTCTTTCAATCTATGGGGGTTAGGATACTCAGATTAAAGTAGTGTTTACATGTGCATACATAACAATAAATTCCCCGAATTCGCATATATAATATTCAAGTCCACTGTATCAAATAAAAAGTTAATCTGATCGGCATAATTCGAACAGTGTCAAATGCAGAACAAAACAGATTACTTATCAATGAGTTATAATTTGAAGAAGTAAACATTCTCTTTATGAAATAAATATCATGTAAAGTAGAAGATAATAACTGACTGAAAAGATTGAAATAAATCGTCATGTTCATCGTTCTACACAATAATAATAATAATAACTTATGATTATTAACATGTCATTTCTGAAAACTGATATATATATATATATATATATATATATATATTTATATATATATATAATATGTACTCCTTTCGATACTAATTGAAATAACTAACCGATTTCTATGTATGTGAAAGCATATGTCTAGTTAAATGATGTCTTTCTTTAAACTGTTCACCACAAAGTGAACAAATCGATTTATTCAAAAGTGAACAACCAGACATTGCCGTTGTTGTTGTTGTTGTTGTTGTTATCTGTGGTGATGAGGATGATGTTGACGATGATGTTGTGGATATTCCAACTGTGGCTATCATTGATGATGAAGATGATAGGCAAGTTTGTTCATCAATCGACTGTAACATACCTCCTATATGATGATCAACAACATCACTATCATTCTCATTATCATTCGGTAGCTGATTTTTCTTTATCTCTCCTAAATCATTTGTCGACATTGGTTTATGCAGTGAACTAGATCGATCTTTACAATTCCATTGTTTACCACCAGTTTGATTATGACATGTACGCATATGATGTACTAAATCACTAGTTAAACGAAATGTAACAAAACAACGTGCACACCAATTTTGTGCCAGTGATAAACTACTACTGATTAATGCAGGTGATATTGATTTTTTTGATGACAATGTTGTTGTTGTTGCGTTTGCATTTGTATTCGTTAACTTATTGTCAATGTCCAATGGATTAGTTTTTTGTAATAACAATGTTTGTAATAGTTGTTCAACTAATGGATTACGTGATTTCAATGGTAACAGTGTAGTTTTTGACTTTTTATACAAACTATTATTATTATTATTATTATTATTATCTGTGTGGTGGTGAATGGTATTAGTGCTGTGTTTTAATACTTTCATATTTCTAGAAATTTTATTATTATTCGAATGAATTTTCGGTAAATGCTTTCTCTGTAATGCTTCATTGAAATGTTTCATTGATGGCAGTTCATTGGTTTTATTATTTTCATTTGGCTTACATTGGAATTTTTCTAATGTTTGTATTCTGGTCTCATCAGTTTGATGTGATAGATTTTCAGTAGTGAATTGTGTTACATCATTTTTCAATGTCATCATATTCTCAATATTTTCGAATTGATTTTGATTAAATTGTGAAGTATTTAAATTATTGAACATTGAAAAATTCATGTTTTGTTGATTTGTATATTTATTGGTTAATTCAATTGGGAATTCACTAGATGCAATGGTTGAATAAGGAGGATTGATCCATTGAACATGTTGAATGGTGGTTTGTTTTTGACAACATTTAAATAAACAATGTGATATATATGGATAGATGTAGATGAATTGTTCATGACATTTGGAACATTTGAATTTGTCTAAAAGTGAAAGATAAGAATTGAGTTTTTTTTATTTATTCTCTGTCATAAAAATTATATTATTTCGTTTAAATATAGGGTTTCATCAATAGTTCATACCTATTGTGGTGTACGCTACTTATGTTCACATAAGTAGTATATGATATCAAATGGAAATCAAACGTCTGACAGCAAAAGATCGAGAAGGAAAGAATGAGAACAGAAGGCGATTTGTAGGTAACGTACAGGTGAACTGAAGTTTGAACAGTCTAAATGAAAGAACACTGAAATCTGAAACAAATAAAGATTTGTTTGCAAATGATGATTCACGAGAATGTTTTGTACATATGCCTCACAACTCCGTAATATTCGCCTACATATATATGTTGTTGTCCTCACCTGAGTTTTCGTCTGCGGGAACGGTCTCATCATTTATTTTCTTTAATAACAATTATCTCATTTCGTTTGAATATAGGTTTCATCAATAGTTCATACCTATGACCTAACTGATTTGTTGAGCTGAGAATATATTTCAAACTGCAGTCAATTCAGTCAGCCACTCAATAGTAATTGACTATGAATAAAAATTTCGGAAATTCTACCGAGAGACGTTGTCCGATGAAATTAACACTATTCATGAGAAAATAAAACCATTTCTTCAGCCAATTATATACACTTTATCATTTGGAGATTTGTAATTTTCACATCATGATCGTCTTGTCCGATGACTATTAATTGGCAGACACTGTATTACATAACTCAGTACGTGGAAGCACGTAAAAAGCTAAACTGAACTTACTTAATATGCCATAACTTGTATATATGTTTTTGGATACGTTCTACTTTACTGCAGTTTGCAAACTTATTTATTCTCTAGCATCACCTTTCAAGGTGGACAGTAATATAAATAGATGTGTTAAATTTCTCAATCCTATGAAAGCTAACTAAAATGGTCAAATGAAACTGTCTTCATCAAACTCATTTTATCAAAGGATTCAACACTTTTCATCAATTATTTCACAAGATTAGGCTAAGGTGATTGATACGTTGACATGTAAAGAAGGTATTGATTGTGCTTATGAATTTCAGACAGTTTATATAAATGAAGAAACGTTGAACTGATGGGTTATAAATGAATTAAATTTCGCTTTGTTGACAGCATTTATGTTAAGTAATTGAATTGTAGATTTGAGGTTGATCTTCCTGTCTTATTTATGTAGTTCATCACAGTCAACATGAGCCATAAACTGGCTGTCATCATTGACATCATTAACTTATTCATGACCATCACACCTGGCTCACCATCTCAAAGACCTGCGGAAATTTTTGGGGGGCTAATGCAACAATCCTGAGCCATGTCTCCAACTATCGGTTAATGACCTTATAGCTGACGACAATCAGTAGCAAAGGTCATCTTAATATCATCTGAATAAATGGCGTAGGTTATTTACTGCGCTGATCAACATAAGACTACTGAGAATTATAGACTTGATCATACCAACTCTACTTGCTCTAATTATCAGAGGATGAGACTATAATTTACGTCCAGTAACTACTAACTAATGACTATTTTTTATAAGTAGAAAGTTCATAACTGATTAGAAATCGTTTGATCATAGGCAATGAAATGATACAAAACCTCAAGTAAAACCATTCAAAGGTTTGTTTAATAATAAGATGAAAAGAAACTTTACAAATTCTATTTCCTTTTTTAAAACTTAAATTATCATGCCCAAAGAGAGTTGATAATCGGGCATTTTTAAAATTTTTAAAACACTTTATTAAACGTGTTATTTAGCTTTGTGTAAAACTGTGGTGCTGGTGGTGTTTGGTTCTCTGAGCTGGGTGTTTTGTTTGTGTGGAACTTTGATTGTTCTTTCACTGAACAACATCATCAGCACAAACTTCAGATAGAAGAAGAAGTGAAGTCTTTGAAGTATTTCTCCACGTTCGACCTGTAGCATGTTCTGCTAACCTCGATCTTGATTGGTTGCTGTTGACCTTAAACTTGTCGTTGTGTGCATCTTTATTTTGATTGTATCCCAGTATCACAGTGAAAAACACTACATAGGACAAAGTGGACATCCTTGTCAGCTTCGTTTACGTGAACACCAATTAGCAGTCAAACGCCACGACAACTCTTAGCTTATATCAATACATACCGACAATTATGGACATACATTCGATTGGGACAATGTAGAAATACTGGATAGGGGAAGGACTAAGAACACTAGGGAATTTTTAGAAGCTTGGCACTCAGGTCAATCAACAATTGATAAACACATCAACTGTAGCACAATTTATCAACCAATCAGAAAAATCATATGTGACACAGGATCAAGAAACAGATCAAAAGGGGCATACAATCAAAACAAAGGTGCAAACAACGACAGGTTTAAGATCAACAGCAACCAATCAAGATCGTGGTTAGCAGAACAAGCTACAGGTCGAACGTGGAGAAATTCGAATACTTCACTTTTATCTGAAGTTTGTGCTGCTGATGATATTGTTCAGTAGAAGAACAATGAAAGCTCCACAACCAAAACATCCAGCTCAGAGAACCAAACACCACCACCACAATCATCCACCTGAGCTACAAATCTTCTCCACTATTTCTGTAACACTCCCATTTCCTAGTCACCCTAGTCACTGAATCACAAGAACACTTCAGGTTCTTCTTCTTGGCTTTTATAATATCTCATTGTCAGCAAGGTGCTTTGATGAATAAATTTCAAAATTTTCTATGTCTTTTCTTTTAATATGCTACTAATAACATACCAAAGGTTTTTGTTTGATTAGATAGATTACATAATCATCACTGGCATTTATACAAAAGCAAACAGATGTACTGTAGTACATATTGTGTATTATTTTAAAGTATGATAAGTTGAATTTCAACGGAAAATAACAAATTGTTCGAAAATCAATCAGTTCATGTGCAAGACCGAAAGTCCTGGGTTTGATCCCCGTAAGCAAGAGTCATGGATGCTCACTGCTGATAAGTCCCATACTAGAATGAGACAGCCGTCCAGTGATTCCAGGATTCTAATTCAGGTCTTCTAACATTGACCAATTCATGATTCTAAATACAATTGGGTGACATATTTGAATTTCCGTACTATTAAGTTAGCAACGGTCAAATGATTTCTGGAAACTTTCTATTTTTAAACAGGATAAGTATAAATTACAAACATTTGTGTTAAAAATTTAATTTTCATTACAGGTTTTTCGGAGGTTTTTGAGTTTCAGCTAAATTATGAATCGATCAATGTTAGAACATCGTTAAAAACCTGGAAGCACTCTGGTGAGCTGTTTCGATCTAGTATGCGACTGGCTCATCAGCAATACGCATCCACCACCTCCGCACGTGAACGCTCAACCTCTAGACCACTGATGTGGCATCCAACGGTATGTAACTTAGCCTCAGAGATACACAGGTACCGCAAGCCCTGAGGACAGTGCTTTTCTATCAGGGGGAGCCATGTAACGCATTCGAAACCTAACTCTATCCACTCCTAGTTTCGTTTATCAGTTTGTCTTAATCTCACACTGGCTTTATATCTGGTTGCTGTCTATTTATTTGTATATTGCATTTGAGTGCATGGGGTTGGATGGTTGCTGTATGATGCGCCTGAATGTCAGCTAACTTAATCCCACCTCCATGTAACTCAGCAGGTGTTAATGTCTAACTCTGACTAATCCACAGTCTTGCGCAACCTTATCCATTGTGCCTTCAACGGGCACTGCTTCACATTCGACAGCGTCGAAAACATTTTCTTTGAAAAAATTTGATATCATCATCATCATAAAACTTACAATTATCTGTATTTAAAGACTGATCACATTCTTCATAGTTTTTCTGTAATAAATCCATCGATTTCAATGATTGTCCTATCCATGCTTCTGATATATGCAAATTATTTAAATATTTCATTACTAATGGTTGTAAATCTTGTCGTCGAAACCAAATTAATAATTCTTCACCAGCTTCAATTCTACGTGTTGTTCTATAGAATGATTGACCTAATTGATTTGAATAGATTAATTCCATATTTTGTTCAGCTGGATATCTAGCACAGCGTACATTACAAATCCATTCAATAAGACGTATTGGATCGGATAGACGTTTTGGATCAGCCTATTTGTGTGGAATGAAAGAGAATAACGAATGTAAAAGAATCTTAGGCTTTTATTTGATATTCATTCGTCATTTAAAGTAGATTTGTTTAAACTAAATAAACGGATTGTTAATATTTTTAGAACTCCACATAGAGCCCCTCTGTGGTTACTGCCGGTCCTAAGTCCGAATAAAGAGGGGGGATGTTGGTGTTAGGATATTCACCAACTATCCTTCGAGGAAGTGTAAATTTTATTGGTCGATTCCTATTGGTCAATATTACGGTCGTCCGAACTATCAGTGTCACTTCAAAAGTTTTTTCCTATTGGTCGCCTTAACTGTCAGTGTCACAGACTTCGATGCTGTTTCCTAAATGAATAAATACGCATTATGTGTAACGTTTTATGGACCGGACCCGGATCCAGATCCCTAGTCCAGGATCTTGATTCTTCTTCTGGACTCGGACCTCATACTTTCTGGATGCTTGTAGAATACATATTCTACTTCATATCAAGTCTTCTTCTTTTTACTCAATGGGGGGTTGGGACAATCTGATTAGAGTAGCATATCGTGTTGCCAGATCCTCCATCCTCGCTCTCGTTTTCCGACTAAGGTAAACTCGTGATAGTCCAAGCTTATCAAACTGACGGGTTTACGTGCATGCGTAGCATTCGGGCATGATGGGGTTAGCGACCCCATCTCATAGAAAACTAACTCACTGAAAAAAAAGCGCTAACCAGTTCATAACACAGCACAAACATTTAATAATGCAGGTTCAATGCAATAAATTCATACTAATCAACTTACATAGATTGTTGGCAATTCAGATAATCGATCAGTTGTTGTCTGTGCAATTAAATATGCTGGTTCAGCTATCATTAAACTTGTTGGTAATGGTCCAAAACTTAATGATTCTTCTAGTATATTTGTGGTAATCATACCCATGATAATCAATATATACGTATTTTGAAAAAAAATTGATCAAAATTTGTTGACGTTGTACCAAGTAATCTAAAGTTAAGTAAGAAAGAACAAGGTACAATGATGATTGATTATCGAGAAGTAGTCAATATCATGTTAAGTCTAGTTTATGGGTCTGATTAAAATCTATAGATCACGTGGCGAATGTCAGAGTAAATGAATGGACAGATATTACATTTACCATCTCCTTCCTACTGTTAGTCAATTGGAGTCAGTCGATTGAAATCAATAAACCATAAGTTTTGTACTAGTTTACTCTTGCAAATAAGGAGTGTGAATCGATTTCCTCCAGTTTCTTTTTGCGACTGTTACAACAACAATTAGTGAATTGTGTGTTCCAGTCTCACATAGAGCATCTATTCCCTTAAAATGATCAATACATCTTTCCGATCAATATAAAATTACAACAAAGCTTAATTCTATAACTTTCTAACGATCTATTGGGGACGTTAGATCTTCAGAACTCACTTGATAAAGGTCCTAATTTTGAATGTTTTTGTGTTTTCGTGCATAGGCTGATCCGTTGACCTTAAGATTATATTTCTCACTCGGAAACTACCTGACTGTTATTGGTTAATGTATTATTTTAGTACGCTATTTTTGTGTGGCTGTCCCAATGACGTTTCTATCATGTATAGATAGATAAAATCAATTGGTGTGTGTTTATCAACCTCATACTTTCTGAGTGCTTGTAGAATACCATTTCTACGCCTTATCAAGACTTCTTGTTACAGTTAGCAGGGACGGAGACGAATCGGATCAGAATAGCCTATCGTGTCACTGAATCATTTGTCTTCTCTCTGGTTTACCGAATAAGGTGAACACGTAATAGCTATTCAAGCATATCGACTGACGAGTATATCGCGATCAAAATGTAAAATTATCATCATAAAAACACTGATCATTCTAAGGTTGACTTTGCTTACAGCTAAATTAATTACTTTGATGTAAATCTAACAATATTTGACTAACATTGCGTCATTTTTATTAAAATGAATTTAGCTTATTTGTTAATATGACCAACTATGACAAATCAATACAGTTCTACTGTATGGAGCGGAAACTTTGAGAACTACCAAAGCCATCATCCAGAAGATACAAGTGTTTATTAACAGTTGTCTACGCAAAATACTTCGGATTCGTTGACCAGACACCATCAGCAACAAAGTACTGTGGGAGAGAACAAACCAGATACCTGCAGCGGAGGAGGAAATCAGGAAGAAGTGGTGGAAGTGGATAGGACACACACTACGAACAGCATCAAACTGCTTCACGAAACAAGCCCTCACATGGAACCCTCAAGGCAAAAGGAAAAGAGGAAGGCCAAGGAACACATCACGCCGAGAAATAGAGAGAGCTATGAGAGGTATGAACAAACATTGGATAGAACTGGAGACGGAAGCCCAGGACAGAGTTGGTTGGAGAAAACTGGTGGGCGGCCTATGCTCCATTGGGGGTAACAGGAGTAAGTAAGTAAATAAGTAATCATTGGAAAAGTTAGTTAAAATCAAACATTATTCATATCTTAACCAATAGTTACAATGAAATCTTGATTGAATTTTTAAAAAAAATGACATAACTTTTATGTTTGTTGAAAATTCACTGTTTCCAAGATTAGTCAATTGTCTTAAAAATTGAGAAATCACTTATTCCAACAAACAAATCCAAAATATGTAATTATATACTGTTTCATATATTGCTGACATAGTTGGAATTTTCAATACACAAGTGTCAAAACAGTTCTACTGTATGAAGTGGAAACTTGGAAAACTATGAAAGCCATCGTCTGGAGGAAGATACAAGTAGTTATTAACAGCTGTTTATGCAAAATACTTTGGAGTCGTTGACCAGGTATCATCAGTAACAACCTACTATGAGAGAGAATAGACTAGACTTCAGTTGAGGAGTAAATTAGGAAAAAGTATTGGAGGTGGATACGATGTACATTGTGGAAATCACCCTTTCGCGTCACAAGGCAAGCCCTCACTTAAAATGGAGACAGACGTTAGAAGAATGAATAACATTTGGACAGAATTGGAAAGGAAGGCCGAGGACAGAGTAGGTTAGCGAATACTGGTCGTCGGCCTATGCTCCATTCGGGGGTAACAGGCGTAACTAAGTAAGTAAGTAAGTAACTATGTGACTAGCAATGAAATATAGGACACGCATTCCGTCCTACTTGGAAGTAGTCGTCAAATAGGTTTACCTACAGATTGAAATGTAGAGACTATGACCAAATATCTTTAATTTATTTCAAAATAATAAAGCGTTACTCGTTGACCTACTAATTCCAAATAATTACTAACTTGTTCAATAGGTGTGAAGATGCTTCTTATACTTTATAACTCTGTATTGTTTATTTTCAGGAATTCAATCGGTTAGTACCTGTTGACGAATATCAATCCTAAATGATTTTAGGTATACGTAACTGATAGGTATATCGAGCCAATATGCTTAGGATACATTTATATAAACAGAAACTGATCATCTGTAGTTTATAAAATCAAGAAACAGGAAATTATGTAATTATAAACTTGTCCAATCTTGAAGGTTCTTGCAAAGTTCGTTATGCATTTGGAAATTCTCATTGGTGTGTGTGTTTTCAACAACTTTCTCAATCGAATATGGAACGAAGAGAGTGAGTGACTCAGTAATCAGCTAATCCGAATACACTGTCTTTGCATCAATCAATGATTTATAATTCATCTCATCTAGAAATAATTTGTAATACTTTTGTTTTTTTCAGCAGTTTATCGATACTGATGTCGATATACATAATCTGAGGATTTCCTTTAAGGGACTTAAAGACTTGTCACCCCATTGCACATGCCAATGATTATGTGTATTCCGTAGTTAAGTAAATAACGTCATTGTATTTGAAGCAAAAGACACACTGGGTTCAATTCACAGAGTGATGAGCATTAACTGTGGGATGACGGATACATCCAGCTGGAAAAATCTTAGTTCATTCAATAGTATCCTAACAGAACATTCATTTCATGGTATTTTATTACATTTCTATATACTAATTATATTGTAGTGAAGGAGAACAAAGGTGCGGGCAACCGAATTGTATCTAACGAAAATTACAGAGTTACTCAGTAAAATAGGAAAACCATATCGTAAATCGTTCATTTGCAAAATATCAGTCCATCATCTCGAACTAAACTGTTCCTGTTGCCAAACATCAATCCATTGTCACTATTCATGCATTTCATACAAATTCGATTGTGTTCTAACTCTTCCTTTCTTGATCTTTCCCCATCTTCTGCTGCCAGACATTACGTTGATACTCACGTCATATACTACTTATAAGTAGCTCACACCACAATATGACTAATTTTATTTTATCGAAACAATTTTATAAACTTTTTTCATTAAATCACCCCTAATTATAGAAAAAAATTAAATGGAAATCATGAATTCATTGTCACTGTTTTACATCTGTCATTAAATCTTGTTAGGTTTTTTTCTTACTTCAACTGATTCTAATTTGTATAAAAATCAAAAATTTGAAACTTGATCTGACTAAAAATTTTGATAAACAATATTCTTTATTCATTATTTTATTATTTAAAAAAAAAACTGTAATTTTTTTGCACGATTTAATTTTTATTTCACATTTTATTTCTAGTTCCAGGTTGCTTTCTATTTTAATTAATATTATTATTGAGTAACAGATGGAATAAAACAAAGACCTTATTATTTATTTAGGCTTCAATGTTCAATAGACATGAAATCATGTCGCAAAAATTGAACTGATAACAAACATTTTGGTCCTGTGTCATAAATGTCTATGATCATCAAAAAGCGTTTGATCGCAAAAAAAAATTGACAAAAATTGCTTAGGGGTAAACATAAAAATTTTTTATTTTTAAAAGAATTTTCAATATTCAATGTCTTATGTAAAAGTAAGATGTTGTTGAATTCAACTTTTATGAGGTGATAGGATATATATATAAAAGTGGTGGCAGATAAATCTGATTGAAAAAAAATTAAAGGGGACTATTTTTTTTGTGTTAGTATTTGTGCGTGTGTGTGATTAGTTCGATGGTGTTTTTTTGCAACAAAAGTTATTCTCTGTCAAAATAATCAATAGAGACCATGGAGTGCAGGTTTACGGAGGTTTTTGTTCTATTTCAAAGGTAAAGAAAAATTATTTGACTATGAAATTTATCAGTAGTGAGCGTTCACGATACAGTAGGCGGGAATCAAATCCAGAACCTTAGGTCCCGCTTAAACAGACAGACAGACAGATACAACACAGAACTTCGTACGTAATTATATACATCAGTTCAGGTTGCCATATCACATTAGCACAGAGACGCAACTGTCAGTTCAAATCAAAAAGTGATAGCAATAATAGAAGTATTAGCAGTAATGGAGAAGATTAGGGAGCGAAGATATGATTCGAGAAGTATAATTCAGTAAGATAAATTTAGAAGGAGAAAGGTAGAGATTAGGAGGAATGCAGAAGCTTAGAATTTCATAGAACACAAAGAGTGGATGCACCTGCGCCATTGCAAACGATTCTGAGACATGTCGTTCAGGGTCTCTAACCATTGGTGACTATCGTCTCGCGGACCCCAACCAGGTAGTCTACATCTACCAACATGACTCAGTTCACTTGTTAATGACTTCATGCATTTCTGACATGTTTTGGTCTGGCCGCCCCTAGCTTTCTTCCAATCTACTGCTACACCACAAACATAGCTCGTCGTGGCAGTCGGTGGTTAGCCATACGTAACACATGTCCCAACCACCTCAACTGATGAAGTTTCACAACTTCATCTATTGATCTGCCATCCCTACCTAGAACTCGTTTCCTAACGACAGCATTGTTTATACGGTTGTCCCATGATACACGAGCAATGCTTCGGAGACATCGATGATCGAAGACTAGTAACCTACAAATGTCCTCTACTCTAATTGATTAGTGTTAGACCGCCGTTAGAAAC